TCAGTCGTTAAGCGTCTGCCTTCGGCTCAGGTCATGATCCCAGGGTCCTGGGATCGAGTCCCACATCGGGCTCCCTGCTCGGCAGGAAGCCTGCTTCTCGCTCTCCCACTCCCCCTGCTTGGGTTCCTGCTCTCGCTATCTCTCTCTGTCAAATAAATAAATAAAATCTTAAAAAAAAAAAAGAAACTTCATACTTCATATGTGAAATTTGGAAAGCTTTTCTTCTGCTACTAAGAACAAGACAAGACTGCCCACGATAACCATTTCCATTCAACAATGCACTTGAGGGTGCTACCAAGTGCAGAAGTCACAGGGGGAGGCTGCAAGATCAGAAACAGACATAGGCAGAGACAGTCAACTTATTTAGACAGAAGCTGTACTCCCAAAGAGTGACCAAGGACAGTCCTTTCACCCAAAAGTGCTGGTACGATGACCCTATGGACAAATCGCCTATGAAAAAAATGACATCTGACTTCTTGGCACAGAGATGAACAGTGAGAACTCTCATACTTAATAGAGATGAAAATCAGCACAATCACTATGGAAACCTATGGCATTCCATACTAAAGCATACCCTACAAACCACCAAGAAACAGACATAAGAATGTTTAAACAACTAAATTGTTAAGGGGTACATGCCTGTCTGATAAAATGATCAAGAGAAGCAGAGGAGCAGCAACCACACAAGACCAGAGAGGGGAATCTTTCCGGAGACAAGAGGCATTGTTTAGGATGGTCCTGCCAACATTCCATTTCTTCATCTGGATGGTTGATAAATGATTTTCTCTATGACCAATCACAGAGCTATTTTCTGTACTTCTGAGTATGTGTTATATTTCACAATTTAAAAAAAAAGGTTTTTAAATGAGTTTGAACTGCTAATCAGATTAAATGCCCTCAACCATACTGAAAACAGAGACAAAAGTAACATTTAAATTAACAAAAGTAGAAGAATGGTGCTAAAAATATTAGTGATATAAAAAATTAAAAACTATGCTCGATATCCTAATGTTATTTTCTTCAGCACAGTTGTTACTTCTTATTTGAAGCTCCTATGGTACAAGATGACAGTTTACAATGGGAGAAGAAAAAGCCCACCTTGCTTGAGCTTTCCTATAAAATAAAAGTTGAACCCCAACTTCAATTTAATTCTATGAGTCCAGGAAGTCAGAAACCTATATAACATGGTAATGTATTAGATTCAAAAATGTCAAAGCTAGATACTTTGAGAAGACAGGTTCCACTCCAATTTGGTAAGCACTATAGACCGTACCTATAGGGAAGTGCTCAGCTGACTATGGGAATTCCATAACTCAGTAATGTCAGATAGAAATAGGTTTAGAAGTCATCCCATATTGATGTCTGCCTCCAAAGCTGGACCATATTTAATTATTTCAACAGTAACTTCTGGAGACACCAGAAAGAAAGGGAATCTTTCTTACATATAATTTAAATCTCTTCTGATTTGGATTATCTTCATTTTCTACTTATACTACCATCAGTGAAAATGGCAAATAATTGGTCTCTCTTTGTGAAGTATTCTTTCAAATAAAAAGGCAAGAATAGGTTAGATTAAGATAAAACTTTCCTGAATGGAAGTTCTATAAGTTAAGATGCCATACCCATGATGCCAGGCCAGGCTAACTCTTCATGGTCATCCCTTTCCTTTCCCGGTGCCAGGTGGTTGAACCGATCCAGATGTTCTAACAATCCACCCATCAGAGGGACAGCTCCAGCCTCCTGCATGAGACCAGCATTTTTACTGAGCAGAAGCACTATAGAAACTACTAGTTCTGGAAGAAGAACACCTACATTTTAAAAGAAAGGAAAAAAAGCATTAAGATTTAAATAAAAGCGTATATCCTATTAAGCCACTTTGTAAGCTCATTCTATGTTTAAATTCTGATAAATCACAAAATAAAGAATGCTTGTCTTAGCATATTTCTACAGGATTATTTTATCTTTCATCTTGAAAGAACAGATAAAGGTATCAAACAAAACACTCTGAGTTACAAGAATGCTTTTCAAAAACACTGTATTTCAACAGAAGTATTAACTAGAGTCTTTTATTCAGAAAACTGTTTCCAGAAAACTAAGTTTACTATCAGAAAAAAAGCACTCAATAATAATGCTCTACTGTCACAGAATTAACTTGAAAACATATTAAGCAACAAAGGAATTTTATTAAGGTCCTGAAAGGAGCAACTAATTTTTATGCTGCTGAAATAAAATTAGACAACTACTAATAACCTCATTATTGAAATGGTAATAATGGTGGTATGACTCTAAATCACCAATTACATTTATAGTGACACAACTCCTGCACCAGGTTGCTTAACAATAGAATTGTCAGCAAGTGAAAAAACAAAAAGAGAAAGGCCAACAGGACTAGAAAATGTATGGGGCAAAGGCCTGCAGGTTTATCAGGAAAGGATAAATTTTAAGCCTCATCAATCTCCAAATATAAATACATGTCTGAAGGTAGGATATAAAAAAGGTACCAGTGAAGTCCCCTTCCACAATGCAGGCCACCTCTGCAAAGTGCCGCCAGCTGGTGGAAGCAATGCTGGCTGCCACAGGCAGTATGTCGCCAATGTGTGTGCACAAAAGGGCTGTGTACTTCTTCAGTAAGGAACCGACACCCATAAGCTCAGGACCTCGAAGAAAGATATAAAAATGTTCATTTTTACCATTAAAATTTACTTTGTAAATAAACTGCATTGATTCACTATTCCACCCTCATCTATACATCTTTTACCTATAGTAATTATGTCAAACAGAAGCTATTAACCCTTAATCCCTGGCTCTTTTTATATCACATAGTCTGAGAAAACAGTGAATTTAGTTGTCAATTTTTATACACTGTATGACATAATACCCAGAAACTTTGGGTGTATAAATACTAAAGTCATAATTTATAGAGTTTTAAAATCTTATATCCAATACACACAAATGTTACCAAATTTCAAGTCTTAACACTTGTAAATTACTCCTAATAAACAAAGTTAGGCATTTTTCAATCTCATAAAATCTTTAACTTTTCTTCCTACATGGTTCTTAATGACTTTTCAGTTCTTGGGACTTTATGTCTTTGAGATGGGCACCTCTTTCAGACTCTAAGTTCACCTATTTCATCCTGAAATTTTCTATCATCCACAAATGCCTAACTCTTTCAGGAACTAAGATATTTTAGAATATACTATCTATAAAAATATTAACAAAAGCAGCAGACCTTTCCATCCTCGACAGAGAAAGCCAACTTAGGGAGAGCCACCCACTACCTTTGAAGCTTATGGAAAGTACTCTACTCTATGTCATGCACAGAGATGAATGCTTACATATCATCCTATTTTAATCCTCAAAGGCACCCTGAGATGTTATTCCAGTTCCATAGATGAGCAACCTATAGCCCCCAGGAAACTCAGTCCCATGTCCAGCAGATAATAAACCAGTGCTGTAACTTCCTCCAATGATGATTCATTCCACACATTACACCTACCTAGCTTTCCAGTGTGACATACAAATACTATGTCACTACTTGGTTCCCACATTATGGCAGTATCTAACACTCCATTAGAGATACGTACAATAAGTTTGATAAATCTTCTATAAAACTAACCTGAACATAAAGAATACTATTTTTGATGCCCAAATAACTTAAATATTAAGACAATGAAAAAAAATACTGGTAAGTCTAATATTCATCAAAAAAAAAAGTGGATGCAAAATGAAGTCCCCCCAAATTGGTATAAGATTTAATAGTAAAAAAACTACACATCTGGGAATGTAGAATAGGCATGTCAAAAAGCCTAAATTAGAAAGCCAAATATACACAAGGCATTTTAATTTTAATCAACTTACTAGAAATATCTGAGGTCTGACCAATACTTTCTCCTGGATAAAGTTTACTGATAAGTAGGCGCTGAAAGCGCAGCAACAAATCCAATGAAGCAGTTCTTTCACGACTATGTTGCTCAAAGTCTAGACATGATGAGATCCGACGGGCAACATCTTTCAATCTGGCTACTGTCTGAGAAGCAATGTTTCTATGCAGGGGAAAGAGGATTGCAAAATTAAAGAAGTTATGTCTGTTTAAAAAAAGGTATTAAGAAATCACGACATAAACTAAAATCAGAAATATAGATCATACACCCAGGTGACCTGCAGCTGGCTTCCTTCCCCAAGTATGTGTCACGTGTGTCTGCAATAAATACAACCTCAGTCAAAACAGAGTAGAGAAGCACAGAATTTACAAAAGATATAATGATGCCCTTTGTTTTACAAATGTGTTCCTAAGAGCTGTGTGGAATGGTCCAAAATGATAGAAAACTCCTGTACAGACCTTTGAGGAAAAAACAACTGTGTCATTATTTTTGTCCAAAGCTGCATTTCACACATATATGTGACACTCTTCTTAAAGACAAGATTCACTCATCATTTCTGCATCTGCCTCACAAATCTGCCTTGAGACCTATTCAGGTAAGTACCTAGGTGGGCAAGGTAGGGGGTACCCAGGACTCTCAAAGTACAGGAAGGAAGACCAAGGTGGGTACGAACAGAACATGTCAGGGTAACAGATGCTTGAAGAATATGGCAGCAAGGAAAGGAACAAAGGCTCCAATTCCAACTGTGGGATCTGACTCGTGACACAAACCTATCAGTTAATAGGGTGAAAAAGGAAGAAATGTGAGTTCCAAAAGGTACAATTAGAACAGTAGTAAAATGTTCTGGTTCCATGAGCAGCTTGCAAAGGAACAAGGGCAGAGAGTCAAGACAAGAGAAGGAAGGAGAATGGACACTCCAGGTGATAGAGTAGCAGGCTGCTGAGACTAGATCCCACAATGCTGAGGCACTAAAGGTTCCAAAGGGGAATACATCCTATTTGTGTTTGAGGAAGGTAAGTTTGGTATGAGTGTGAAGGCAGATTAGAGGGGACATGGAACACCAGATAACACCCTGCCACCCAGAGACAGTCCCAGCACCAGCTGAACCAGGCCTGATCCCTGGTACTAAGAACAGAAGAAAGTGGGTTAGTGGAGGAAAGGAACCAAAGCACAGCCTCCTTCTGGGAGGCTGTCAAAGTAGCTCCATCACACCAACCCCATCCCAGCCAGGAGGGTGAGGACTTGCTGGCTGACACCTGGCACTGCCACTGAGCAGGTGAGTCTGGGATCTCTGCATAACACCACACCACAGACAGGTGTTCTGCCCCACTCCTTTGATTTCTAATGTGACAGCCAGTTTGTGGAAAGCCTCTGTCAACTGCACCTGCCCCCATGATAAATTCCTGGAACTAACAGCACGGTGAGGAAGGACAGGAACAAGAAACATTAGGAGTCCCAACAGAACTCCAATATACATCCAAAGAGTCACTAAGAGGAGCAAGAAGACCTTGGCTGGTGCACAGGCCCACTCCCTGGCCACACAAAAGAAGGTAGGTGCTCACTGGATCTTGCCTCTAGTCAACCTCATCTTTCTTCTACCACCTGATACCCTGCCTTGATAACCACAGTAGAAAAAACAGGTCTAGAATCTGGGTTTTATCCTATACAAGAAGAAGCAAAAGAGACTAATATAATAAAAATTTTAACTTATTTCCTTAATAAAAAAATTCAGAACCATAATCATCATGTGTAATTCTGATAGAGTTCACTAATTAAAAAAATCTTCATAGCTCTCAATTTTCAAATATAAATGTTTTTCTGTGGCTCCTTGTCAGCATAAGACTAAAGAGTTACTCTGAAATCTGTTTCATGGCTTATTCTTGGCAAGCTGCAATTTCTTCAACCTGCTTTCCAAGGAATAAAGTACACAAAATGTCTCTATAATCTCTTCCATCTTTAGACTACTTTTCAACAACTGCATCAGCTAAGTCAACACACTGAGCTACCTTCAGTCACACTTAAGGTAAGAAAATTAAATTAAATGTCGGGGTGCTGGGTGGTTCAGTCTTTAAGCGTCTGCCTTCGGCTCAGGTCATGATCCCAGGGTCCTGGGATCGAGCCCCACATCTGGCTCCCTGCTCAGTGGGAAGCCTGCTTCTCTCTCTCCCATTCCCCCTGCCTGTGTTTCTGCTCTCAGTATCTCTCTGTCAAATAAATAAAATCTTTAAAAAAAAAAAAAAGAAAGAAAATTAAATGTCAAAGTCTCCCTCTACGGTGGGAGAGGCACATTATCTACACTTATGAAAGAAAAGAGCCTGGATTATAGGCACTGTGTTAGTAAGAAAGGTGTTGATGCATCTTCCTGTCTCTATTTTCCAGAACTTTTCTAAGGTTTATTTCCATGCTCAGTTTTTGTTTTGTGTTTTTTAACCAGGTACATCTTTATTATAAAACTGCTGGGGAGCCAACTCCTCCTTGCATGCCAAAGGTTCAGAAGACAAACTATAAGGATGGTCTACAAAGTGCTGCCCAATAGCAACATAATGCCAGGTACCCACATATGTTATTTAAAAGGTTCTGCCAGGGGCACCTGGGTGGCTCGGTCAGTTAAGCATCTGACTCTGGATCTCAGCTCAGGTATTGATCTCAGGGTCATGAATTCAAGCCCTGTGTTGGGCTCCACGTTGGGCGTGGAACCTAGTTAAAAACATAATAATAAAAAATAATAAATAATAAATAAATAAATAAAAAGTTCTGCCATTCACATTAATAAAGATAAAAACAAACCAAAAACCAGTATTAATAATGTATTTATCCCAATATATTGAAAATATTATTTCAACATAAAATCTGAACTCCAAAAAAAAACTATCGAAATTTTTTTTTTTTTAAGATTTTATTTATTTATTCGACAGAGAGAGACACAGAGAGAGAGGGAACATAAGCAGGGGGAGTGGGAGAGGGAGAAGCAGGCTTCCCGCGAAGCACGGAGCCCGATGCGGGGCTCGATCCCAGGACCCTGGGATCATGACCTGAGCCGAAGGCAGACGCTTAATGACTGAGCCACCCAGGCACCCCTGAAATATTTTTTATTAGGTTTCTCACAGCCAGTCTTCAAAAGCCATTGTGTACTTTATACATTCAGCACATCTCAATTCATATAACTAAATTTTCATTGAAAATACCTGATCTGAACTTGACTCATAAAATGCACAGCTGAAAAATTAAATTCATTGGCCAAGTTATTTCAAACATACTTAAAAGTTTTCACACAGCTGAATCGGGTCTAAGTTTTTTAATTTGAATTTTAATAAATAAATAATAATTAAGAATTCAATTAAAATAACTGAATTTTAATTAATAACAAATAAAAATTCAATGTTGCAGCATTAGCACATTTTAAGTGCTAATCAGCAAATGTGGCAAGTGACCATCAGTCTGTACAGCAACAGGCATAGGTGGGTAAAACAGACAGGTCTCTCCACACCAAGGAAACAAACAGTCTGAGCAACCTACCATGGGCCGAGGTCAGCGAACCCAGCACTCACTCTCTGCCAGAGATACCAGGGGACCGGACACAGCCTCCTCAGCCAAGGGTGGGACATTCAAGAACTCAAAAAAGTGCTTCTCAAAATACATGCTTTATGCTTTAAAACTTCTGCACAGAACTTAACCTTTTAATTACATAGCACTCAACATTCATTTTCTCATTTGATCCTTAATTAACTCTGTAAACACTGCTATTATTACTCTCCCACACCAAAGACAGTTTCACTTGCCAATTTTACACAAGCAGTCACAACTGAAATTTTCTAGGAACAAATCCCAAGCTCTTTCCACTACCACCAACTACACTGAGTTAATTCATTTTCAATTTGTTGTACTCAAGATCAGAATGTATGAGATATTGATCAAAGGAAACAATAATCAGGTTAAATTAAAAAAACGGGAAAAAGTTCTTTTAATTAGCCTTTACTACAATCTATGTAAAGAACTAGCTCTAAAACTTCCTCTTAAAACTTCACTGTGCATCCAGTAAATTCTGGTGCATCCATATGGAAAGCAGGCTGCCCCCACACCAGCAGCATACCACCCGCCACTCTCCTAGACATGCCACTCTTCTAGACATGCATGCAGAGCCCCCAGCTCTCTGGATTTAGCTGCCTGAGCCAACACTCCAGGGCTCTACTTTCTCTATGTGTAGAAAATGAAACAAACCAGGAGCCAAGTTTACATAAAACAGTTTTGTTAAATAGAAGGACAACAATTTTCCATTGTCTAACAGCTGCCTTTCAGAAATCACCTTGCTTTTTTGGTCTTTTTTATTTGAATGACACTGTAACACTGGTTGACATGTTTCACCAAACAGTGTATGATCACTTCAGCCCAAGGTTTCTATGTTTATATTCTGATTCTGATTAATTCTTATTTACTCCCGATAGGGCCTTCAGAAATAATGCTCACCATTTATTTCAGCTTTTAAATTAAAAGTTGTCTTAGAAAGTAATACACATTAATCCATGATATACACAATGAGGCAATGATATGAGTTTTAAAAGAAATAACTCTACCACAATGATTTTCTTTTCTATCTACTGCTTACTAATGAGAATAAGAATCTTTTCCTGTTTATCTCATACACTCCAATTTTCTCTTGTGTGAAAACCTTTAGATTCTCTAGTTCTACTTCACACACTCCAACCTCTCATCTGTTAAAAGTCTGCTCTTAAATATGACCTCACTGATATGAGGAATTCTTAATCTCAGGAAACAAACTGAGGGTTGCTGGAGTGCAGGGTGGGGTGGGAAGGATGGGGTGACTGGGTGATAGATACTGGGGAGGGTATGTGCTCTGGTAAGTGCTGTGAATTGTGCAAGACTGTTGAATCTCAGATCTGTACCTCTGAAACAAATAATGCAATATAATATATGAAAAAGAAAAAAAAGAAGAAGAAGATAGCAGGAGGGGAAGAATGAAGGGGGGGAAATCGGAGGGGTAGACGAACCATGAGAGACGATGGACTCTGAAAAACAAACTGTTCTAGAGGGGAGGGGGATGGGAGGATGGGTTAGCCTGGTGATGGGTATTGAGGAGGGCACGTTCTGCACGGAGCACTGGGTGTTATGCACAAACAATGAATCATGGAACACTACATCTAAAACTAATGATGTAATGTATGGGGATTAACTTAACAATAAAAAAATAAAAATAAAAATAAAATAAAAATTTTTAAATTAAATTTCAATGTAAACGCACATTTATGTGGTAGAGAAGTATGATAGGATGATCAATAAAGACTTTTTTTCCCCATTGTAAAAAAAAAAAAAGTCTGCTCTTAAAACAGTATGGAGGTTCCTCAAAAAGTTAAAAATAGAACTACCTTATGATCTAGCAATCATACAACTGGGTATTTACCCAAAGAATACAAAAACACTAATTCAAAGGGATATAGGCACCACTATGTTTACAGCAGCATTATTTACAATAGCCAAATTATGGAAGCAGCTCAAGTGTCCATCAATGATGAATAGATAAAGATGATGTGGTGTGTGTGTGTGTGTGTGTGTGT